GACTAGGTGGGCCCATGATAGTTGAGTGATTTTTCCTAAGGGGAAAATCTCGCTAGGGTTAACCTAGCTCTATACCATGTCACAATGTAAAATTGACTAAAAACAGAAAGTACAAACAAGATATATGCAAAACCTAGCCCTAGTGCAAGTAGAAAATAACATAAGGGAGAACATCTAGACTAGAACTACACAAACTATAGAATCATAGTTTGACAGGGTCTCCGACAGCGGCACCCCCAGACTTAGCACCGCCAGCCCCAATAGCTCCAGTACCTCCAGTACGAGCACCTCCGGAACTAGCGACTCCAGCACCTCCTGTAGACAAAGTACCAGCACCACTCCCAGCTGCAGATCCCCGAGCTCCAGCAGCGCGACCCTGACGGCTAGCGTACCACTCGTGCAGCTGCTGAGGGGAGAGAGGCGCACGCGGACGAAGGCGGCCTCTCCAAGGAGACCGCGCACCAGCAATCTCAGTACCCTCAGGCGCCGCACCCCCAGACTCAGCACCCCCAGGCTCCTCACGCGCAGGCTCAGCACCCCCAGACTCAGCACCCCCAGGCGTAGTACCTCCAGCCTCCTCACGCTCAGGCTCAGCACCTCCAGGCTCCTCACACTCAGGCTCAGCACCCCCAGGCTCCGTACCCCCAAGCTCAGCACCCCCAGGCTCCTCACGTACAGGCTCCGCACCCCCAGGCTCAGCACCCCCAAAGACAGCACCCCGAGCAGGACCACCCCCAGCAGGACCTGAGTCACCAGTGACCTCAACAGGTGTAGGCACGGGAGGGTCTACCTGAGAAACACCTGAAGGAGCAGGACCTGGCGCGGGGAGGGGGTCTACCTATGGAGGACCTAGAGCGAGAAAGAGCGGCTGGGGGGGGGGGGGCGAGGGGCAGTGCGGTAGGGAAAGAGACGGAAAAAGGGGACTGACTCGTCAAAGGTGACGTCCTGAGACAGAAAGACACGGCGCGAGGCGGGGTTGTAAAACTGCCAGTCAGGCACGTCAGGGACAAAGCCAAGGAAGACGCAGGGAATGGCGCGAGGAGAGAGCTTGTCCGCAGTGGTATCGCGGACAAAGGCACGGGCACCCCAGACTCGGAAACGCGACGCCAACCTCCCCCGTCCAGCGCAGTGTGGTCGAAGTCTCCGGCACGGAGACACGGGGCCAGAGGTTGAGCTGATGCGCGGCGTACCGGACCGCAAACGGCCACAGAAAATGGGGGGCAGCTGCATGGATCATGGAGGTACGAGCGACCTCCATGACTAAGCCAATGCGGCGCTCAACAACCCTATTCTGCTGCGGAGAGGCCGGAAGCGTGAACGTCTGGCGGATGCCGTGCTCCTCACAGTAGGCTCGCAAGAGGTCGAAGGTAAACTCACCACCTCTGTCGGAGTGCAGACGCAGGACAGGAAAGTCCGAGTGGAACCGCTCGCGGAGCTGGAGACGAACAGCGCGGATCCAAGGGATCAAAACATCAAGGACCTCCCCCTTGCGCTGCAAGGGGAAGACCGTGGTGTAACGCGTGTAGTCGTCGACTACCAGCAGGAAGTACCGCTCGTGGCCTTGTCCACGGACGCGGGCTGGGCCCCACACGTCTAGGTGGAGAGTCTGCAGTGGAGCCTCTGTGGGAGGGAACGAGGAGGAGTGAGGAGCGGCGCGCTGCCGCCCCTCGACGCAAGGAATGCAGGGCGGCGCAGGCGAGGGAGGGAGGGAGGGCAGAGACCGAGGAAGACCAGAGACCAGGCGGCGAGAGTGCATGCCACGAAGGCGAGGCAGGGATGGGTGACCAAGGCGGTGGTGCCACAAGAGAGTCTGGTGGGACAGGTTGCGACACTCACACTGGGTAGCTACCTGAGCGGACGCGTACAGCTGAGGAGACAAAAGGGTGGAGCCCGACGCAGTGGTGAGGGTGTACAGACTGGACCCAGGCGCAAGTGTGAACGTGGCTAGGTGACGGCCGGTCCGGGAGCACGTGCAGATCGCCACACGCTGTCCTCCAGGAGTAAAGGTGTCAACCCAGTGATCCTGAAGGACGGCGTTGCTCACCAAGTTCGTAGAGAACAAGGGGAGGTGGAGACCAGACAGCTCACCAGACGGGACCGCCGGATACAGAAGCATAGTGGAAGACCGTGCAAGCACTGGGCCCCCAGAGGGGTCAGCCAGTGAGACAGGGACAGGGGCGGGGAGGGGAGTGACTGTGGTGCTGTCGCGAAAGAAACAGCGGGAAGCACCAGAGTCAAGTGTAAAGGTGTGCAAGGCCTGTGCGGACGCAGTACCAGGGAGAGCAGACTCATTAGCACCTAGAGCTGCAGACGCTATGCCTGGGGCTATACCGGGGTCAGGCGGCACACACAAGTAGCAGTCACCCTCAGCACTAACAGTCAATGCATACATGGCAGCAAGAATAGCATCATAGTCAAGATCAAAGATACGTACATCACGCCTAAGCAGGTCTGCCCAGTTGGGGAACTCAGTAGCATCAGGAAACTTGATGCGCCAGGCGTCACTAAGCCGAGCGAAGCAGCGGTACTCAGTGTGAAAGCCGGTGCACTGGCGACCAGCGCGGGGACCTGCGCGAATGATATAGGGGCAGCAACCAGGACCCCCAGATGCCCCACGCCCGGCATACCAGTCAAGAAGCTGCTGGGAAGTGGGGGTCTGGCGCTGATGCTACTGCGGCTGCTGCTGCTGCCCCTGGCCACCACTGGTGTCACCCAAGACCCCACCACCGCCGCCACCACCACTCCCCCCTCCGCCACCACCGCCGCCGCCACCGCCACTACTCCCGGCACCACCTCCACCCCCACGACCACCCCCACCACCTCCACCTCCCCCGCCGCCTCCACCACCGCCCCCTCCACCGCCACCTCCGCCACCCCTGCCACCCCTGCCTCCCCTGGAGCCGCTGCGCTTCCTATTAGGAGCGGAAGCAGCTGCGACCTTCTCAGCACCAAGGAGGTCGACAGCAGCAGCTGCGGAGGCGTAGGAGGGGGTAAGAGGGGAGGGGGAGCACCCCTTAAAGAGGGGAGTGCGAAGAGTACCACGAGCAGCACCTACAGCGAGGATGTTCTTCTCTACTGCTAGGAGGTGCTTCTCGAAGTCGGCGACAGTGAGAGTGGTAGGGTCTAGGGCTAGGAAGTGGTCCCTGACGGAGCTAAGAGTGTCAGGGAGGCGGGTGACGAGGAAATAGAGAGTGAAGTACATCGGGGGGGGGGGGGGGGGTTCTCGGCGCAGAACTCGGCTGGAAGGGCGGCACGAAAGCGAGTGTCACTAGCGCGAATGTGAGAAATGAGGTCCTCAGCAGTGGTAAACGAGGACAAGTCTGGGAACAAGTAGGGTAGCATGAGCCGACCTAGGGCTGCAGTGGCCGGGGAGGAGTAGCGCGCAACTACACCGTCATATAGTGCCTTAGCAGTTTTTTGCTGGCTGAAATGCGCGCGCTCAGTGATCAGCAGACGATTTCGAATAGCTAGGCGTGCAGCAGCATCGCGAGTCTGCCACTGTGAGCGTTCGAGAGCAGTAGCATCGTCAGCAGGAGCAACGGCAGTGCCAGACGCGTAATCGAACAGTGAAACGCCGTCTTTGGCATCAGTCAGAAGAAACAGTTGGAGATCATCGAGCCACGTGGTAAACTCTATCGGGCGACCGTCAGGCTCAAATGCGAAAACATTAAGTGTCGCCATAATCGCAGTACAGGCAAAGGCAGTAGGCAAAGGCAGTAGGCAGCAGGCAGCAGGCAAAGGGCGCAAGCAGCAAGGGCGGCGCGCAAAGCAGGCGCAGGCAGCTCAGGTAGCGCGCGGGGCGGCAGCAGGCCGCGTGCAGGCTGCAGAGGTGCGGCTCGAGTAGGTAGGGCGGCGCGCGGCGCTGACGGTGCGCGGGGCGGCTGCGGGCCGCCCGCGCGCTGCGCGGGCTCGGCGCGGGCTGCGCAAGCGGTGCGCGGGGCAGCTGCGGGCCGCGCGCGCGCTGCGCGGGCTCGACGCGGGCTGCGCGGGCGGTGCGCGGGGCGCGACGCGGCTGCCGAGGAGCGACGCGAGCAGGGAGGGCCACGCGCAGGGCAAAAGGGGGGGCAGCGCGCGGGAATCAGGTCTGCGCGCGCGAAGCAGCAGCAGACAGCTCAGACAGCAGACAGCAGGCAGACAATGCGCGCAGCGCAGCACGTCCTAGGCACAGTCACAATCACAATCGTGGGGTAGCGGTAGGTGGGCCCGAAAAAAACAGTCCTACGGACCTACTGCTCTGAATACCATGTCAGAAGTCTAGGCAGGAATGAATGCACTATGAAAGAGTTGGGTACAAGTATGAAACCCTAAACGGGGCTGTACCCCATATTGGCTACCCCACTACAGCCTAACCATATATATCATACATATTATTTGACATCCTTCGGATGGCAATTCTCAATGTGTTTGGTCATTGCACTTGTGCTCCCTCCTTTCCTCGAAATCACTTGCTTTACTTTTTTTTTTTCACAAAGAAGTCATTTTGCACTTTCGGGCTCATCAATTTTTTCATAAAACATCCACATCGCCGATGTGAATGCCTTGTTTCTCTTCACATGCGCTTCCTCATCCACTGTGTCGTCATCAAGCCCGCGCTTAAGAGATTTATCTGTAATTTCAGCAGAACCACCGCTTGTCTTATCGTCACATGCCGCGGAGGACTTTGTTGGGGCCGTTGAGGCCATAAAGCATACAACAGTTTACTTTATCTGCTTTACGCGTCCTGACGTCCGCAACAAACTATGAATCGATCAGATGTTGAAGAGATACGGTGTAATCTGTCTTGGGATTGATGAAGAGCTACTAATTATGCTAGAAAACTGCTCTCTGGAAAGCAGTTTTAGCTCTCTGGAGTTGAGAGTTAGGCTTGGACCTCTCTGGAGTTGAGAATTCTGGAAGAGTGTCGAATGAGAATTGGTTGGAAATGGAATTGGTAGATTCACATTCAATTTGTGTGTGGTTCTGTCCGATTTCAGTTTACCCGCCGCCCCAAAATTCGAAGTTTACGTGCCCTCTTTCCCCGCAAATGGCACATGTAAGTCCACAGCAGGGAAGGGGACGGGGGGAGGCAGGGAAGGGGATGGGGGGAGGCAGGGAAGGGGATGGGGGGAGGCAGGGAAGGGGATGGGGGGAAGCAGGGGAGGGGATGAGTGGAAGCAGGGGAGGGGATGGGGGGAAGCAGGGGAGGGGATGGGGGGAAGCAGGGGAGGGGATGGGGGGAAGCAGGGGAGGGGATGGGGTGAAGCAGGGAAGAGGATGGGGGGAAGCAGGGGAGGGGATACGGGGAAACAGGGAGGAGGATGGGGGGATGCAGGGAAGGGGATGGGGGGAGGTAGGGAAGGGGATGGGGGGAAGCAGGGAAGGGGATGGGGGGAAGCAGGGGAGGGGATGGGGTGAAGCAGGGAAGAGGATGGGGGGAAGCAGGGAAGGGGATGGGGGGAGGCAGGGAAGGGGATGAGGGGAGGCAGGGAATGGGATACGGGGAAACAGGGAAGAGGGTGGGGGGGTGCAGGGAAGGGGATGGGGGGAAGCAGGGTAGGGGATGGGGGTTCAAAACGCTGTTCGATTGGGGTGGCGTTGGCGACCATCTCTGTTCCTCCCCATCTGTTCCTCTCCCTCTGGAGTTGGTGAGATGGGGAGGGGGGAAGAGCGGATGGAAACGCTGATGACGAGGGGAGGCGAGGGCGGCGAGGGTCGGCAAGGGTGATGAGGGGAAGCGTCAGCGACGAGAGGGAATGTGGGCGGCGAGGATCGGTGCGGGTCGACGAGGGTGATGAGGGGAGCGCGGGTGACGATCTGAAACGCGGTATGTCTACTATCAGCGATTGCGACGAGGGGATGAGTGAGTAACGTGGGAAAGCGCGGGCGACTAGGGGAACATATGCGACCAGAAGGTAGGCGAGGGTGATGAGGGAAAGCGCGGGCGACGAGGAACGCTGTCTGACGTGGGAAAGGGCGGCCGACGAGAGGGAACATATGCGACTAACGGCAGCGTGTGTCACGCGAAGCAGTACACTATTCGCGTGAACGACCCGTGCCTAAAACGGTACGGTTGTGACACGAGCCTGAACCGCAGCAAGTGTGAGAAGGGCCTGCGTAGGCGACGCGAGCTTGAATGCGCGACGCGGGTAACGCTCAGATCGTTCACTAACGCAAGTGCCGCGGGGGAAGGGGTTGTAACACGAGACCGGTGACGAGAGGGGGAGGTCGGAGCGTGCACTGACTAAGATGGTTGGGGTGGATAGTAATCTTTCTTTCCGCACAAAAAAAAAACCCTATAAAGGACTCGCTTGTGCCAACTAACACTAGTTTTTGCCTCGGAGCCTCCTAGTCTATGAGTTCTACTTGGTAAGCAAGTTATGTGAGTGGTGAACAGTGCATCTGGTCGGCGATCATCGCGTCAGTTCTGTTTTTGGCAACTCGGGTTCCTTTGTCGCAGTACGATTGCCTGGGCTCGCGAGAGTTTCATCAAAGAAAGTAGGGTAACTCTGTTTTTGGCGATTTCAAGTTCAAGAATCTTGAACTTGAAAATTACCATGCTGTACTCGGGCTTTAAGTTTTAGCATTCTGCTGGGATGATGAACCACAGATTTCGTGGTTTCGACACCAGTAAGTGCGGGAGAAAAATGTGTAGCCGTGTTTGTGTAAAAATGGCGCGTTATTTTTTTTTGCACACGTTTGCGGATCGCCTGTTTGAATGTCTAGAAGGATTCTTCACGTGGAAGTCATTGGCAGGAATGTGAAATTCGTGGAAGTAATTTTTCACACGTGTTAAAGTTCGATCGTGGAGAAGTGGCTACGTGACGTTGCGCTAGTCATATCCCCGCTGCCTGTCAGGGGCACTTGCTAACGGTAGCCACGCCAAAACTTATCGTGTTTTCAAGCGGCACGTCTGGTACAACGTGCTCCAGAATTGTGTCGGTGGGCTGCAATGGGACGCTGACGTGTACCTCAGAAACAACATCGTGTAATTTCTTGGCGTCTTGTTTCATAACGTGCCCCGCTGGAACTGACGCATGGGTTCGTGGCATACCTGGCTCTGAATGGTCCAAATGTCGTCAGGCACGCTCTCTTCGTCCGTCATACTGGTTTCGAGCGTCAGTAATAGACACAAGTCAAGTATTTCATGGGCCACTTTGGGTCTTCCGGGCCAAACGCTGGGTCTACAGTGCTGTGGATCAGTATGCGAGGGTGTACAAATGGTTGTGCATCATTTTGCGACCAGTGTACAAGTGTCGCATCCAGTTATTCACCAGGCGCTATGTAACCCTGTGCGAATTTGCAGAAGTGCAGATTTGCAGGGGCGGCTAACAAAATTCCAAACCTAGCGTAAACTCAGCCCTGATAAGTCCTGCCAGGCCTCTGAGAAATAACTAGGAATGAATTGACTAAGGGAAAGTTGGGTACAAAAGCAAACCCTAGAAAACTGTACCCCATATGTGCTACCCCACTATAGCCTACAGTAGCTATGTCATATAAATCTGACACACCCCCATAGGCAAAGTGGGGGAGAACAAGGGGTCACAAGACCAGTCAAGCAAAGCAAAGCAAGCTCAGGGTGGATCACAAAGTCACCACACATTCCGAGCACAAGTTCAAGGCCACAAGGCCAGTTCACATGCAGGATTGCATATATATATAAGGCTAGACAAGCAAGAGCAGGTGTATATATATATGCAACAGTACAAACAAGGTCAAGGGGTGAGCAAGTGAGGCAAGGTAGGCACAAGACCCAGCTGATTACAGAAGCGCTGATGATCACAAGGCGGGAGTGCCTTGGTGAAGATATCAGCAGTGTTGGCCTCAGAGGCCACGTACGCAAGCCGCAGCTGACCACGCTGCTGTAGCTCACGAGCAAGGAAGTAGCGGAGAGCAATGTGCTTCGTTCTGTGCTCCAGTCTCTGCTCTCGACACAAGGCCAGCATGGCCTTGTTGTCTACGTACAGCACTGGAGGAGAACGAGGCGGCTCTCCGAGGTCAGTCAGCAGGTAGGTGAGCCAGCGAAGCTCCTGTGCAGCCATGGCACCGGCGTAGATCTCAGCCTCACAACTGGAGCCGAGAACAGAAGACGAGCGGGTAGCCCGCCACGAAACAGAGCCGGAACCAAGGCTGAAGGTGTAACCCTGTGACGACCGCTGCGTAGCCTGGTCGTCAGCCCAAGAAGCGTCTGCGTGCCCAGTGAGGACCACTGGACTCTGCCCTCCAAGCACAAGCCCCATGCCCGACGTACTGCACAAGTAGCGCAACACCCTCTTCGCTGCAGCCATGTACTCCGGTCTGTGTCTCCCAGGAGCAACATAGCGTGCAAGAATGCTAAGAGGGTATGCAAGGTCAGGTCGTGTGCAGGTCATCAGGTACATGAGGCAGCCAACAAGCTCTGGGTACGGGCCACTCGGCTCTACGGACTCATCCGAAGGCAGAGCTGAGAGCGAGTGGCGAGTAGGCAGAGGAGTGGCCTGAGGCGAGGAGTACGTGAAGCCGAAGCGCTGAAGGACCTGCTACACCATGTGTGACTGAGTCAGGGTAATGGTGCGGCGTGCTCTGTCCCGGGTGATCTGCAAGCCAAGGTAGCTGCGTAGTTCACCCAGGTCTGTGCACGTGTGTCTCTTCGGCAGCTCGGACTTCACGTGGGCGAGTCCAGCAGTGTCTGCTGTGGCAAAGACCAAGTCGTCGACGTACACGAGGATGTAGAACGGCGGCAAAGAAGTGTCGGTGCGCAGAAACAGCGACGGGTCGGCAGTAGAGGGAGCAAACCCAAGAGCCGCAAGCGTAGTCTTCAGTGTGTCGTGCCACTCACGCGGTGCCTGGCGGAGACCGTAGACTGGCCGCCGGAGGCTCCACTGGGTGCCAGGAGGAAAGGACCCAGTGAAGCCAGGTGGGCAACGCAGCCAGATCTCCTCGTGCAGGCTGCCCTGCAAGAAAGCAGTGCTGAAGTCAAGAGAGTGCAGCTCGTAGTCGCGGTGAGCAGCTATGTGCAGCAGTACCCGAAGAGTGGTCATCTTCGGGGTGGGAGAGAAGGTCTGAAAGTAGTCAACTCCCTGCCGCTGACTGAAGCCACGAGCCACGTAACGCGCCTTGAAGACAGGCGGAGAACCCAGCGGCCGCTTCACCCTGAAAATCCACATGCCACTGACGATGTTCGCCCCAGGCGGGGGAACCTCGTCAACGTAGGTGCCTGTGGACTTCCAAGAAGCCATCTCTGCGCCCATAGCTGCCTGCCACTGAGAGGAGTAGGGACCCTCTATCGCCTCCGCGTAAGAGCGCGGAGTCGGGATGTCAAGTGCATCCGGGTCTCCCTCAGGGGTAAGCAGTACGGACACGAGATGAGGTGAAGCAGCAGCCAAACACTGGAACTCCTCCTGCCTGTCCTCAAGGACGTCCGTGCCAAAGGCACACTCACCCCCGACGGACGGAGGACAGACAGACTCAGACTCAGCAACAAGACTAGCAGCGTAGTCTAGACGACAGCGAGCAGCAAAGTCGACGAGCTCAGTAACTAGTGCAGACGCAGCAGTGGACTCAAAGGAAGGGTCAGTGACAACAGTAGCAAGGAGACGCGTGACAGTAGGACTGGCAGCACGAAGAGAGTCCGACTCCGGGTCAGGAAGAGCAGGAAGAGAGGACTCAGGAGGAGAAGGCAAAGGGGCACGCAGAGGAGCAGTGGACGGACGCAGAGACATCCGGTGCGTGCCAGGGACAGGAGGAGGACGCGGACGTGAACCACGACCACTAGTGCGAGCAGCACGGACAGGCGACGCAGGGCGAGACGCAGGCTCACGACGCTCAGCAAGACCTCCAGTAGGACCAGTGTAGGGAGAAGGAGCGGGCAGTGGGGAGGCCGGCTGTAACTGTAACTGTGACGGGACAGGCTGTGGACACTCTAAGGGAGGAGGAGGACCAGTAGAAGGCGGGAGACCAAGAACCTGCTGAAGGAGTGGAACGAAGTACGGCCGAGGCCGCGCGGCGACTCCAGACACAGCAGGGACAGCACCAGTACCCCCAGCGGCAGCACCAGCGCCAGCAGCACCTCCAGCTCCAGTACCTCCAGCAGCACCAGTAGCACCCCCAGTAGGACCGCCTCCGCCTCCACTGCCGCCACCGACACCTCCACCCCCGCCACCACTCCCACCACCACCCCCACCCCCTCCACAGCCGCCCCTCAACACAGGGGACGCAGGTAGGGCCAGGCCCCGGAGGAAGGGGAGGGAGGGACCGGGGAAGACCAGAGACAAGGACACGGGAGGCCATGCCTCGGAGACGAAGCAGGGAGGGGTGACCAAGGCGGTGGTGCCAGAGGAGAGTCTCGTGAGACAGAAGGCGACACGAACAGGGGGCAGACTCAGGACCAGACCTGGACGCTGCAGCAAATACCTGACCCGACGCAGCTACCTGACCAGACGCAGTGACTGGAGGAGACGCAGTGGTCAGTGTGTACAGGCTCGACCCCGGCCGACGTGTAAACGTGGCCAGGTGTCGGCCTGTCCGAGCGTCCGTGCAGTGGGTCACCCGCTGACTCGCAGGAGTGAACTGGTGAACCCCCGCATCCTGTAGGTCAGCACCACTCACCAAGTTCGTAGAGAACGAGGGGAGGTAAAGACCAGACAGGGTGCCAGAGGGGGCCGCCGGACACGGGAGGACAGTGGAGAAGTGAGCAAGGACAGGACCCCCTGAGGGGTCTGCCAGAGAGACTGCAACTGGCCGGCCAAGCGGCGTGAGTGTGGTGCGGTCTCAAAAGAAGGAGCGAGAAGCCCCCGAGTCAAGGGTGAAGGTGTGGGAGGCCGAAGCCGACGCAGTACCTGAGAGAGCAGACTCACCAGCACCTGAGGGAGCAGACGCACGAGCACCTAGAGCAGCAGCCTCGCTAGCACCTAGAGCAGCAGCCTCACCAGTACCTAGAGCAGCAGTCTCAATGCCCGGGTCGGGCGGAAAACACCGGTAACAGTCACCCTCATCACTAATAGTCACAGCATACATGGCAGCAAGAATAGCATCAAAGTCAAGGTCAAAGACAGCTACACCCGCCCTAGACAGCTCGCCCCAGCGAGGGATCTCAGTGGCCTCAGGGAACTGGTGACACCAAGCGTCCGTCAGGCGGCCAAAGCAGCGCTGGGTGGAGTGCGCACCCCCGCACTGCTCACCCGCGCGGTCGCCGGTGCGTAGGACGTAGGTGCACGGACCAGTACCCCCACCCCGCTGGCGTGCAGCGTACCACTCACGGAGCTGCTGAGGGGGGGGGATGTCACGAGTGCGCTGCTGCCGCTGCTGCTGCTGCTGCTGGCGCTGACCACCACCGGAGCCGACCCTCTGTGCAGCGCCACCCCGACCAGCTCCACCTCCTCCGCCGCCGCCTCCTCCACCGCCGCCACCTCCGCCACCTCCGCTCCCACCGCCACTGCCGCCGCCGCCTCCGCCTCCACTGCCGCCACCGACACCTCCACCCCCGCCACCACTCCCACCACTACCCCCACCCCCTCCACTGCCGCCACCGCCACCTCCGCCACCCCCGCCACCCCCGCCAGCCCCTCCAGCACCCTTGCCCCCCTTGCCCTTGCCGGTGCGGCGTCTCCCGCTCGGGGCAGACGCAGCGCCGACCGACTCGAAACCAACGAGGTCGGCCGCAGCAGCAGAGGCAACAGAGGGCAAAAGGGGGGAGGGGGAACACCCCTCAAAGACGGGGGTGCGAGGGTCACCACGAGAGGCTCCTACAGCGACTATGCTCTTCTCTGCTGCTAGGAGGGCCTTCTCGAGGAGGTCAACGGTGAGAGTGGTGGGGCAAACCGAGAGGAAGTGGTCCTTGACTACGCGAAGGGAGTCAGGGAGCCGGGTGACTATGTAGTAGAGGGTGATATACATGGGGGGGGGGTTCTTGGAGCAGAACTCAGCAGGAAACGCAGTGCGGTAGCGAGTGTCACTAGTGCGGAGGTGCGTAATGAGGTCAGCGACTGTGGGAAAGGCAGCAAGGTCAGGGAAGAGGTACGGTAGCATGAGGCGGCTCAGTGCAGCAGTGGCAGGGGAGGAGTAGCGCGCAACTACAGCGTCGTACAAGGTGTGAGCACTCTTGTACTGGCTAAAGTGCGCACGCTCAGAGGTAGGCAAGTGGCGACGCACAGCAAGACGTGCAGCAGCATCGCGTGTGGCCCACTGTGAGCGAACAGTGGCGTCAGCATCAGCAGCGGGGGCAGGGGAGGCACCAGAAGTGAGATCAAAGAGGGAGAGACCGTCTGCCCTATCGCACTGTAGGAAAAGCTGCAGGTCATCTACCCAGACGTCAAAGTCAATGGCCCGACCCTCAGCATCAAAAGCGAGGACACTGGGGGTAGCCATGACAGCAGTAGACTAGCAGCACGAGCAGTAGGCTAAGGGCAGCGCAGTAGTAGAGGTGCTGCTCTTACCGGGCAGGCGAGACGGACCGAGTGTAGAGGACAGGGCGGCTCGGACGGCTCGGCGGCTCGGCGGCTCGGCAGCACCAGCAGGTCGGCAGCTCAGCGACTCGGGCGGCTCGGGCGGCTCGGGCGGCTCGGCGGCTCGGGCGGTTCGGTGGCTCGGGCGGCTCGGGCGGTTCGGTGGCTCGGGCGGCTCGGCTGCTGCAGTGCAGCGGCGGCTGTTGCTCACAGGACGGCGGCGGCCGCTGCTGCAGCGGCGGCGGCAGTTGCTGCTGCAGGGCCGGCGGCGGCCGCTCCTGTAGGGACGGCGGCGGCCGCGGGTGCAGTGGCGGCGGGTGCTGCTGCAGGGGCGGCGGATGCTGCTGCTGCTGGGACTGTGGCCGCGGTCGCTGTAGCGACTGCAGCTGCTGCTGCTGTAGAGGCGGCGACGGCGGGCCGAGAGAGGCCGCGAAGGGCGGCGGACGGGCCGTGAAGGGCGGCACGAGGGGCCGCAGAGGGCGGCGACCGGCCGTGAAGGGGCCGGGAGTGGCCGCGGAGGGCGGCGACGGGCCGTGAAGGGCGGCGCGAGGGGCCGCGGAGGGCGGCGACCGGCTGTGAAGGGGCCGCGAGTGGCCGCGGAGGGCGGCGACCGGCCGTGAAGGGCGGCGCGAGGGGCCGCGGAGGGCGGCGACCGGCCGTGAAGGGGCCGCGAGTGGCCGCGGAGGGCGGCGACCGGCCGTGAAGGGGCCGCGAGTGGCCGCGGAGGGCGGCGACGGGCCGTGAAGGGCGACGCGAGGGGCCGCGAAGGGCGGCTACGGGCCGTAGGGGGCCGTAAGGGCGGCGCGAGGGGCCGGAAGGGCGGCGCGAGGGGCCGTAATGGCGGCACGAGGGGCCGTCAGAGGGGCCGCTAAGGGCGACGCGAAGGGGCCGTAAGGGGCCTAGAGAGGGCGCGACGGTAGGGAGGGCACGCGGGGCGCGACTCGGGCAGGAGCGAAGCGTGCTCCGGGCAGGAAAAATTTCGATTGGTGGGCCCTAGGAAGCGTTCCCACGAGGGAACCCGCTCTATACCATGAGAAATAACTAGGAATGAATTGACTAAGGGAAAGTTGGGTACAAAAGCAAACCTTAGAAAACTGTACCCCATATTTGCCCACTATAGCCTACAGTAGCTATGTCATATAAATCTGACAGCCTCCCCAAACCTAACCAAGCCAACCGGGTCCCACTCCAGCCTCGATAGGTCCTGTCAGCTCTCCCCAAACCAAACCAAACCAAACCAATCCAATCCCCTTGGCCCTCTGAAGCTCAATCTCGTAGTTACGAGATTAGGAGAGTCGAGTCAATCTCGGACATAGATTGTTGTCCCGCCGGCGCTGCATAGACTGAAACCTGTCGCATCGCAGGGAGAAGGAGAGCACAAGATTAGTCGCATGTACAGGCCTAACCCTAAAAAACAAATGTTTGGATTCGTATTCGATTTTCCCGCCCGAGTGATCGTATTCGACGAATATGGCTAACTCGAATACTACCGATTAACCAAACCTATTCGAATTCGAACCGGATTCGATATTCGTCGAATACCGAATAGTAAAACAAATAGTGCCCTATTCGTTCACACCCTTACATGTCCACACTCCACCATTCTCCACCACAGTAAAATGTGGTCACAGTTGGCATTGCCATTTGTCCACTCATACCACACTCACCTTGCTGGCCTCTATGGTGTGCCATATGCTGTCATGTGGGCTGTTGTTCCAGCCTGGCCCACATGTGCAACATATGGCCTCACTTGCTAGCTTGGCAAGGTTGGCTAGCCTTGCCCTCAGCATTGAGGTGGTGCAGCTAGCCTCAAGAGTTCAGCCACATATATGTGGCTTCCCACTTCACTAGGAATTATCCTTGACAAGGACCTTGCTCTAGTCTTCAAGACTTGTACCATTTTCTTGCTAAGGATATTTTTTCTTCCTATCGTGCCCTAAGTTCACCGATCCATTTTCTTCACTCCCCTTTCTTATATTCGAAAGGCGACTCCAGCAGCACCATTCGCGGGTTCTTAATGCGCCGCCGCATCTTGCCGGGGGCCACCACGTCCTTGTTGAGCATCACACCGCGCAGCACCGTACTGTCCTCTATCCGACCGCCCGGCACCTTCTCCACCTTGGCGTATTGCTTGATGTCAATCTCCTTGCGCCCCCCCACTTCCACCGCCATTGTTGCCACCGCATCTAGTGCCAGTTCCTGTGGGTGAGGGGAAAGGGTGATGGTGAGGAGGGGAGGGATCGAGAGCAGTTAGGTGGTCAGCTGCGGGGCCCCACCTCCACTGTTACCGTTGTCACCGCGTCTAGAGCTAGTTCCTGTGGGAGTGGGGGGAGGGGGTGAGAGGAGGGCAGAGGGGGAGGAGAGTTAGGAAGGGCAAGGCAAGGTTGCAGGAAAGCAGGCAAGTGGCAGTTTCCCTCCACTGCCACCGTTGTCACCGCGTCCAGAGCCAGCTCCTGGGGAAGTGGGGTTGAGGGGGGTGAGGGCACTGATGAGTGGAAAAAAAAGTGAGCGACGGCGCGTGGGTGGGGAAGGGAAATCGGAGGAAGCAACAGAGGGAAAGGGCAGGGATTGAGTATGTGAGAATTGGAAAACAAAAGCACACACTTTGAGTACATATGCTCTACGTACAGCCATGAGGGAACCGAAGCGGGTGGTGAACTTGGTGCCGATGCAGCTCTGCAGTATGCTCAGCATCTGCTTCCCTGTAAAGGGAGGAGGCGCGGTGATGCACGGGAAAGAACAGCGAAGCACAGGGGAATACAGGGACGCACGGATGGGGGGCAAGGGGACGGGGATGAATGAATGGGACAGGTGGTGAACTTGGTGTGATGTAGCTCTACAGTATGCTCAGCATCTGCTTCCCTGTGTGGGGAAGGGGCACAGTGAAGCAGAGAAACACACAGGGCACCACAAACGGTGCGCAAGGCGACGGGGGATGAAAGGAGGAGACGGGTAGGCGGCAGAGTGTGCAGGGGAAGGCACGCATAGAGGCATGGAGGCAAGAGAGGGAAAGAGGAAGAAGTAGCAGATCTACTTACAGCGTTGCGCTTACTAGCTTTCTCGAAACCACAGGGCGGAACGAGACCGATAGCTGTGGGCGAATGTCTGCTACGCCTCATCGCCAAGGCGGCCCTTTTCCTAGCCGCCGCCATGGCGCGAGCAGTTCACCCCGCTTCAATTTGGCGTAGCCATCGCGATAGGCATAGAAGCGGTGATACACACCGCGCGCACCTACCTGGAGGAGTTTCCTGGAGCGACAGCTCTGCAGATCGACCCGGCAAACACGTTCAACGCAATGGAGCGCGCGGCAGTGTTCGAGGGGCTGAAAGGCACCGACCTCGAAGTACTGGTGCCTCTCGTCCGCTTTTCATACGGCCGCTCATCTGCGCTCTACCTCGACCACGACTTTGGAGCAGAGCCACTTCAGAGCGCTCGAGGGGTGCGCCAGGGTGATCCGCTGGGACCTATGCTATTTGCAGCCAGCATCCACCCTTTCCTCGTCCAAATGGCAGCGGCTCACCCGGAGGTGGTGTTTCTCGCCTATGTAGACGACATCACTCTGCTAGGCGAGGCGGCTTTCACTCACCTCATAGAGGCCCTCCTCAGCCATGGCCTGGCTGAAAATCCAGAAAAGTGCGAGGCGTGGTCCATAGCCCCCTTGGACCCTGCCACCTTACCCCCTTGCGTCACAATCTCCCTGGACGGTGTTCGCGTCTTAGGTAGCCCCATTGGCCCCCCCACCGGCTGTGCTGCTCGAGTGCGTGAACGCTTGGCTGCAGCAGCCGAACCACTCACGCTCCTTTCTCAGATGGACCCACAACTATACCTGCTACTGCTCACTTGCTGTGTGAGTCGCTGCGCCTCGTTCCTGGTTAGAGCCACGCCGCTCGAGGCCCTGCCGCTGAGGGAATGGTTTGCCTGGGGGGAAGAACTGCTCCACACCTACCGGCTGCGGTGCACACATCGATCCCCAGGGACCGGGCAGAGAGGGATAGGATCTGGCACCAGGCCGCCCTGCCCGCGTCCCTGGGAGGCCTCGGCATCACCAATCCTGCAGTGGAGGGGGGTTACGCTTACCTGGCATCGGTCGTTTCTACTGCCCACCTATTGCGCTCGTTCTGCGATTCGGCAAACCCGGCTCTCACAAGACTCTTGCCACTTATGGATGCTAACGAGGAATCCACCTCTCTCCTCCCTAGATGCCTTGCTGCCTTGGAAGCCGAGCTGCCGCATGACGAGATTGAGGCTTTGCAAGTGGGGAGACAAAAGCCTGACGGACCAAAGCTCCAACAGGCTCTCTCCCTCGCGGTACATACAGCCCGGCTTATTCGGCTGCTGGATAGCTCGCGGAACATGGACCTGAACCGGCTATCCGGCCATACGCAGAGGCTGCAGTCCCTCCTAGACCCGGGGGCTGGCTGCACGCTGTCCCCTTGATCTCTTCCCTCTCGGGCCCTCTTAGTTTTCCACGGGGGGATAGCTACTTGCCATGCCCTGCGGGACGAGTGTGCAAAGATTGCGGCTGAAGCGGGATTTACAGTGCACAAGGAGACGACGACTTACTCACCGGTCGAAAACCTTAAAGCGGATATCTCTATCCGCCATCCCGACACCGGTGAAGTGTGGATTTGTGACATCACTGTCACAGGCCCCATCTCCCACAGGATAAGCACGTCCGTAAGGCACCCGGTTGGGTGGCAAGGATGCAAGCGGACAAAAAGGAAAGCAAATACGCTGGGCGGAGCCCTTGGGTGGGTTTTTACGCCATGGCGGTGGAAACATACTGCTACCCCTCACCTGGAGTCCTCGATTTCCTCCGCAGTTGCGCGGAGCTAGCGGGCAAGCAGCGGTTCAACGGTGCCCCAAAGTCGAGGGAGGTCGCCAAGCTACTTACCGGTACCGGCAACGATAGAGCGTGACCCTGCAAAGAGCCCAAGCCAACGCCCTCAGGGATAAGGCCCATGAGGCTCTTACCGCGGATGTGCTAGGCCTGCAGGGCCCGTTCACTCCACTGAGCGAGGGCCAGCTGTACCAACTGCTAGAAGACCCCTCTGGCCACTAGGGCCGGAAGGGGAAGGGGCGGCTGTAGTTGTGTTAGGCTAGTAGATTGCTGCTGTAGCTTTGTTGTGTGTGGTTTATTGCCTTACCATATGTGTATCTTGGTGATATTAATACGACAGACCATTCAAGAGAGAGAGAGAGGGAGATAGAGAGACAGAGAGAGAGAGAGAAAGAGAGAGAGAGAGAGAAAGAGAGAGGGAGAGAGAAACTGAAAGCAGATCATGCAATGCTTTATCTCTCTTACATGTGCACTTGTTGTTCTTCATGCGGAACCCTGCAATGCACTTGCATCCCGCCTTTCCTCCCACCACCTTGCACTGGGCATAAGTGGAACAGGCCGGCTTGTTATGGCTGGTGCAGGAGGGAGGTGGGTGGTGGGGGATAGAGGAATGAGCAAGCAGCTGAGTGTGGCAGCAGGCGGAGAAACTGAAACGAGTGGCTTGGGAGGAGGAAGGGCAAGAGGATCCCACTGAACCACCATCAGCACTCAACCTGGACTGACATGAAGCACTGCGCTTCTGTGCACTGCCTGTGGAGTCTGGAGTCTCTCTTGACCTCTTGACCTCCTAACCTCTTGACCTCCTAACCTCTTGACCTCCTAGCCTCTTGACCTCCTAACATCTTGACCTAACCTCTTGACCTAACCTCTTGACCTAACCTCTTGACCTAACCTCTTGACCTCCTAACCTCTTGACCTCCTAAATCTCTTGTCCTCCTAACATCTGAACCTCCTAACCTCATGAAATCTTGATCTCGTGTTCACCAGTCATCGAAACAGGGCTCACCAGTGCACTGGGCGTTCCTCTCGGTATAGCCGACGTCACACTCGCTGATCCCCTGCCCGTTCTTCGCAACGCATTTTGAGTTCTTGCCGCACTTCAATGCCCGTGTCTTACAAGGGTCTACACCTGCCATGGGTTGGGGAGAGAAGGAGTTCGAAAAGCAACAGCCTGGCAGGACGACCAAGAGGATCTTCCTTTCGGATTGCATACTGTACAAGAGAGCTGCCGTGTTGATTGTTGATTGTTCGAAAGCATGCAACAAGGGAGACAAGGGCACCTACCAGGACGAACGTGCTTGTCGCTGCAGATCTTCTTAGCCTCGTTGAACACAAGGTTTTCAGGGCACTTGTACTAGGCCTTGCCCTCCTTCACAATGCACTTGGCAGCTCCGCAATCCTTGTCACACGGGGCCGATGTGGCCACCACAGGACAAACGATTCAGACATTAGGAAGTGGGTTAAGCACACGGTACTTCTGGCATAGGAAGTCGGAGAGGTTGGATGTGTGTCTTGATCCTTTTCACGCTTGGGTTGTTGATTTTGTCAGACTGAACAAAGCATATGTTACTATGAAGGGACATCGTAGTACAGATTATTGGGTGCTGCCCCTCAGCGTTGCCTCTCAGTGATGCTTCTCAGTGCTGCCTGCTAACATGTGCTTGTGTAAGAAAAGGTACTGTCCCTAGCTCAGGAGTGCAGCATTTCTTGTCAGACACGCTGAAGATAAAGCCATGCATGGCACACTTGCACACAAGAATGCCATAGTCATGCAGAACACATGAAGCATTCAACCCGCACTCGACAGCGGCGCACGGGTCTGCAGAGGTGTAAGTAGGGAAAGTGGACAAGTTGAACTCTTGCTTATGATGGTGAACTCACCCATACACACTCACCTACACACACACACTCACCCACACATGCGTTCTCGCCCACACACGCGCACTCATCCACACACGCGCACTCACCCACACACGCACACTCACCCACGCACGCACACTTACCGACACACACACACTTACCCACACACGCACACTCACCCACACATGCACACTCACCCACACACGCACACTCACCCACATACGCACACTCACCCACACACGCACACTCACCCATACACGCACACTCACCCACACACGCAAGGATGAAGAATACGGCAATCGTATTAAACGGTCCGTGTAATACGGGCGTATTTTACGGTCAATTTTAAAAAATTCGGCCGTATTTTTGTTGGAGTTTTTTTTTTCTGCAACAAAAAAAACAAGAGGCGACAAAATCGTCTTAGGGTTGCGAAACAACACTAGTAACATGCGTTGGATTTTTTTACGACTTTGATTACTTTGAGGTATATGGATTAAGATGATTCATGAGATGTTAATGCTTTTATGGGAATGTCAAGTTGATACGATTCGATTTTGTTAATTTAGGTGTGGCAACAAAATAATGCTGATGGTGGGTAAACATTTTAGGGCAGATATTTATACATCAATAGAAATGTTAATATGAATACTTCTAGTTCTAAGTTTTATTACTTCTTAAATGTTCTTGATGTAACATTTTGCATCAACGCAGTGTCGGGTAGTTTTTTAACGCGTGAATGTGGCTGACGTCAGCAGCGTCGCTAGAAGTTTCATGCGAAGTTCCTTTCGGTGGCTGACGCCAGCAGCGTCGCCAAAATTGCACGCGAAATTTCTAGGGTGTCTGCTGATGTCAGTCGATTTTGTTTTCGCGCAACTTTAACCGAATCTCTCGCGTGATGATGTCAGCCGCATTTCATGCTCGAAATGTGTGGCGGTACTGGTTTCGGGTGCCCACCAGGCCACCGTTCACTTGGTTCCTTTCTGAACTGCTCGATTGTTGTACCGTTTTTTCTCGGGCTGAACAGTAGTGGCGTTGGCATTATTGTCAGCGAGGGTGGGGTGCAGCTGGAGGAGTTTGTCTGATTTTCGCGTGTGTTGTCAGCTAGTGTTGTTTGTTGCGATTGCGAATGCGATTTGGCAGGTGGCAGCTGGCAAAAACATTGGTTTGGTTTGTCTTTGGTATAGCTAGTGGCCGCGCTGGTTGTATTGTTCAATTCGGTTCTGTATACAAATGCTCATTTTGTCTTTCTTGTTTGTGTTGTATATTTCGTCTTCTAGCTAGTTTTGTTATTTCTTGACAGATGGCGATATCCAACCCCGATAGGTGGAACCTTCCCAATTTCTTGCATGTTTTTGAATGGTATGTTCTCGTTTTAAGTTGCACGTGTAAATTCACATGTTTTCGTTCAAGTTTTATTGTAGAAACTATTTTGAAATAAAGAATAACGCGTTTTAAATTCTGGTTTTTATTGTGTGTATATGTTTTTTTTAAGCATACGGACTAATTGAATCGTTAGATAATATGTATTTGTATGGTTTTATGTGTCCTAGATTTCTAATTTCTTTTTTGCTGAACTATTTTTCCACTTGATGCGTTTATGATAAGTTTTGTTCCGTTGTGAGACAGTATATACGACGTCACCGTATATTCTTTATGGTTCGGTTTTAGTTTTATTTGTTAGAAAAATCAGTAGATTTTTACTGGTCCGATGTGTCAATAACGAGAACGTAGTGTAATGCTCGAAAATTTCGCTCGCGTCATGCTTTGTGTGCTGCTCCCGACGTCAGCAGCGTCAGGGGCTTGTCACGCGCGAGATTTCGGGTGGTGTGGGAATGCCCACTAGGCAACATTGGAAATCCGACTCACCAATGTTGCCTACTAGGCAACATTGGGGAATCTAATTTCATCTGTTCGCGTGACAGCTATCGACACTTTACACGGCAGTCGTTATTTTAAGTTGTAACTGTAAAATATGAGGTCAAATTTTGCTGTGACATTTAATGCTACCACCCTTCATGCTGGCACCTTT